AAATCACTACCACTGGGTCTGACCCCCACAACTGAACCTGGATGCCTAACACCCCATTTTGCTCTCACTTTTACCACTGCACCTGCCAAATGTAAAGCCACATTCTTTCACCATTGCAGCTGCCACCATCCTAAAACCCCGGCTCTGAGCATCTCAGCTGTCAACACTCCAATCACCCCCACCTTGCCCTTTCTCAAAAGGGCTAGTTCACACCAGGCCACCTCACTGCATTCTGGGGTGGGAGGGGGTGCGGTGGTGCATTGGAGTCAATGTTTTCTTTTAACAGTGGAGTCTTCTTGGATCTACTTACCTTGAGCCCACATGCACTCAAATAGTGACGGATGGTATAATCGGACACTGATGCATCTTGCCTTTGGAGTCCAGCTTGTATCTCTTTGGAAGTTTCCCGTGGCTCTTCATCTAACATGTGAACCATCCTTCTGTTCAGTCTGAGGTAAATTTTCCTGTTGTGGCCATGTCCAGGGCGGTTGGATACACTCCCATGGACCTTTAAGTATCTTAATAATTGTAGCCACAGGAACCTCACTCAAGCTGCTTGGAGATGGTCTTATAGTCTTTACCTTTCACATGCTGGTCTATCATTTTCTTAGCTCATTAGACTAGACAACTATCTCCTTATCTTTCTCTGGTCAATGCTCAGTGTGGTGCACACGATGACACCAAACAGCAGAATGTTCTCCATTTAAATATGCTGAATGATGGATGGAAGGCATATGTGACACTAATTCAGAAAATAGAATTAAAGGAGAACTATGGGGTTAGCGCTTTTCCCCATAGTTCTCCTTAGGGTAACGGGAGGACACAAACTAGCGTCCTCCCGTCACCCTAAGCTCAGTATACCGCGAGCTACAGCTCGCTGTATACTGAGACGCCGCAGCTGAAGCGGATCTCGACAATTATGTCTGGATCTGCCCAGCTGCGTGAGTGACAGCTGGCTCTGCCTAACTAGAGGCAGAGCCAGCTGTACCCGCCCCCTCCCGATCCGCCAGTCAGCGCTGGCGGAGCCGGGAGGGGGGGGGGAATCCAGCCCCTCCCGTTACGGCAGAGAGCCGTGACAGTATCGAGAGGTGAGCGAACGTCAGTATGTGTTCGCTCACCTCCCGATCTACTGAGCCGACCTGTGACAGTCTCATTGTCACAGGTTGGCTAGAACTATGAGGGGAGTGAAAAGCACTCACCTCATAGTTCTCCTTTAAATATCACTGACCCAATTATTTACAATATTTTCTAGGGGTACCAAAAATCTGTCCAGACCTTTTATATCTTTGTACAATAAGCAATACTTTATCTCTTTCACACTTTCTTTGCTTTATGACGTACAAAAGGCATGCATGAGATGATTTAATCACTTTTCAGGAGGAATGAAGCATTGTTTTCAACGAGTTATAAGGGTACCAACAAATTTGTCCACATCTGCACATGCCTTCTTTCTCCAACCACACTCCTAACAGCAGGTTGTGGCATCTTTATGCACTTCCAAAGCCATTTTATTAAACAGGCCGTTTACCTATCTGGATCATCTATTTCAGGGGTGGCCAAACTCCAGCCCCCCAGCTGTGGTGGAACTACAAATCCCATGAGGCATTGCAAGACTGACAGCCACAGACATGACTCCCGGAGAGAGATGCATCATGGGATTTGTAGTTTCACCACAGCTGGAGGGCCGAAGTTTGGCCACCCCTGATCTATTTCTACTACCAAATATTTTGAAAGATTAAAGGAAACTTGTACGATCAGAAACACAGGTTGTCCTCGCTATTCTCCCGAGACTTCTAGGTGCCTGGCCAGCTCCGGGCTCAATACTTCTTTAGTCCTTGCGCCATACGATAATACAGCTAGTGCAGTCAGAGGAAAATCAGAATACACAATATTTGGCCCAGGTCAGGGACTCCAAGGATTATTATGACCGGCAACTAGCATTTCCATAGGGAGATCTCCGCTAAGGCCAGACAATGTATTTTCTGAGTACATGTATCCACCTTCATTTCTTGGTCACTGATTTGGAATATCCAGTGTTAGGACACAGCTATATACTTGTTTCAGGTCAAGGAACCATAAAGTAGTAGGAAGAATAAGGGTGCATCTTCAAAGGCAAGTGAACTCATCCCATATTTCTGTCCAAAAGCCGGCACACATTTTATTAACCCTTGCAGTGGGGCTACCC